CCTAATCCTTTTCTTCTGGCTTCCTTTTTCGCCTATCAAACTCTCACACCGGTCTTTCATGGCTCAAAACATCCAATTACCGAACGGATTTAAGCACACCCCGTGTTTTCTTGCTCTGCCCTTGACTCTTTTTAAGGCTGTTACTAAGATACGGATGCGACACATACACACAGCGGTCACCGGGCCTGGTCCTCTTTGATGGTCAGGACGACAGCCTGCGCATGTGTACGGACGCTTCAAAGAGCCGGTCCGGTTACAAGCCAAGCCCCGGCGCAAACAATACGGCGACAGAGGGGTCCAGTGTGCGCTATTGTCTGATCAACACGGCCTGAAGGAGTGGAGACTTGTGTGTGTGTCGAAAAAGATGCAACAGCAAAACTGCAAGGGACGATACACTGCAAAACAAAGTGATGAAATTGCTCAAATTTGGCAAAATGTATGTTTATGTTTCACTGCCTTACAACAAGATTTGCCAATGGGAAAAAACTAAATGATCTTGTTTTAAAAAGATACAAGAGATGTCTCCCTTGGAATGAGAAAATAAATCAACAGTTTTTGAATCAAGGCGTGTCCCATTGGCAAATCTTGTTGTAAGAGTGTCGGAATGTACTGAAATTAAGATGAAAAAACATGTATAGTGCACACAGTGTGTCAACTAGCGTAAACGAAAACTGGAGATATTTATATGAATTTACTTCCACAATGTCATGTAAGGGAAGTTTGTACACCCCCCCCCCCCCCCCCCCCAAACCTTTCACCCCTGTGTATGTATGTGTGTGTGTATATATACAGTACAGACCAAAAGTTTGGACACACCTTCTCATTCAAGGAGTTTTTTTATTATTATGATTATGAAAATTGTAGATTCACACTGAAGGCATCAAAACTATGAATAAACTCATGTGGAATTTTGTACGTTAAAAAAAAAGTGCTTGCACACTCTTGGCATTCTCTTGATGAGCTTCAAGAGTTAGTGACCTGAAATGGTCTTCCAACAGTCTTGAAGGAGTTCCTAGAGATTCTTAGCACTTGTTGGCCCTTTCACCCTCACTCTGTGGTCCAGCTCACCCCAAAACCATCTGGACTGGGTTCAGGTCTGGTGACTGTGGAGGCCGGGTCATCTGGCCCAGCACCCATCATTATCCTTATTGGTCAAACAGCCCTTACACAGCCTGGTGTGAATCTACAGTCAAGAGTCATGAAAAGAAAGGAAACTCCAGTGAAGGTGAGTCAAAACTTTTGGTCTGTACTGTATGTATGCTAGTGGCGGCACGGTGGCTGAGTGGATAGCACTCTCGCCTCTCAGCAAGAAGGTCCTGGGTTCGAATCCCGGATGGACCAGGGCCTTTCTTCTGAGTGGAGTTTGCATGTTCTCCCCGTGTCAGCGTAGGTTTCCTCTGGGTGCTCCGGTTTCCCCTACCACTAAAAATTTGTACAATAGGTCTGGCATGTGCCTCCTGTACTAGCACCCCCACTCCCAAAAAAAAATAACAATTGTAAACCGCTTTGAGACTCCGATGTGCAGTGAAAAGGCGGTATATAAATAAAGATTACTTACTTACTATGTATGTGGTGTGTGTATTTATTTTTGTGTTTTTTGTCTGTAATGTCTGTATTTATGTTCAAATAATAAAACAAAAGATTAAAATACACTTGATTTGAGTGTTTATTACCTCCTATTTTATCAGTGTACTTACTGATCCAGGAAGTAGAAAACCTATGAACACTTCAGTTGAGTTCAGTTGTCTTAATGATGGGTGCAAACAACAAAAACACATACAGGTAATTGGTCCCAATATTCTCAGCACAGTGTTGGTCAGGAGGCGCTTGGATTTGCTAGATTTTTACACATGCAAAAAGAAACACATAGAAAGTTAGGGTATACTACATTTCAAACTACATAAGAAATGTGGGGAAAAGAGTAAGTAAAATCACAGTACATTAAAAAGAGTGGTTTGATTTGATTTGAATGACAATACTCAGCTCTGGTCCCAGGTGCACAGGACAGAAGGGGTGAAAAAAAACCTCATAAAACGTCTCCTTATGTCGTGAACTTCTGCCCTTTGACTCCTTTGTCACAACATTTAGGCTGCAGAGTGTGTGAGGGCAATTAGATGATTATTTATTCATGATTCCTTTTTGGGGAATTGAAAACAACACATCCTGCCTTAGTCTCTTTGCTCTAACACTCTATGCATTCATCTTAAACAAAATAAAACATGAGCATCTTTCTTAGTTGAATGTATTTATAGGTATCGGCATCATTTGTATCAGACAGATTAAATGCCTGTACTGTAAACTACACTGTATTCTAGTCTTTGCAGATTGTCAAAGGTGTAATCCGGGATTAGTGACTGTCAGGGACACAGGGACACAGCTCAGCCTCACTCAGGTCACTGCAGTTTACGGGAGTTCCACACCATTCTCTGTTTGGTTTTTTATCAATGAAGTATGTGTCTACCTGTATAAGGCCACACCGTCAAACTACCTGTGCTGTCCACGTTATATTAAGATGACCACTAAATTATTACCAAAGAATCAAATGTTTTTGTTTATTTTGAGTTGAAGTCCGAACTGATGGTCTAATGATTTGATTGTTTCCATGCCTTGAGTCACAAAACCAACGTAAGAGTGAGAACAGAAATGGAAAAGTAGCATGCTGTAGCTCATGGTTGTATCTTGTTACTACAAATTCACACAATTATATCTTGTTACCAGCTTAAAACATTGTCAAGAATTTTCTATCCTGCTCACAAGGCTCTTCAGACGAGCTGTAAAACATTTGCAGTATTATCAAAATGCAGCAGCTCGAGTCCTGACTAGAACCAGGAAGTACGACCACATTAGTCCAGTTCTCAGGTCTCTGCACTGGCTTCCTGTGGCTCGGAGAATAGACTTTAAAACAGCTCTGCTTGTGTACAAGTCTCTCCATGGCCTCGCACCAAAATATATCTGTGACATGTTAGTGCCATATGAACCAGCCTGGACTCTGAGGAGCACAGGGACTGGCTTCATGCTGGGGCCCAGAGTCAGGACTAAACATGGGGAGGCAGTATTTCAGGTGTATGCCCCTAGAATCTGGAACAGTCTTCCTAAAGATGTACAGGAGGCCTCCCTGACATTGTAAGGCTGAAAACTGTATTTATTTATTCTTCCTAAATTGAGTTTTAATTCTGACATGGAGTTTTGTTCCTATTTTATGACTGTTTACCTCATGTTTTACAATGTTTGTAAATGTGTGTGTGTTTGAAAAAAGTGCTAATCTGTTTAGACTTTTTACTTGTATCACTCCCAGAAATGCTCTCATCACAAAGCATATTCACAGGGCTCAAAAGTTTGCAGTAAAAACAATTATTTCTTAGATACGGGATCACATTGGATATTGTACATACACAGTACATAAACCCAGATCCTGCTGAATACTGCTTTTTGATGAACTGTTGACTGAGCCTTGGGTACAAACACCAAAATTCTATTCTCAAACTTAATTTGCACTTTTATAAAACATGCCTAGAGTCACCACTGCACAAAATGGCACAACGCTACAGTATCACAACCTCTGAGGGGGAAACTAAATCTAATGACCTAATTGAATAAATAATTCCACGTCTTTCCAGATCTGCAGCGCTGTTTGTGGCCCCTGTCTGGTGTGTGTGACTTGTGCCTTGTGTGTTTATGGGAGGGGGCCCCGTGCTTGTGTTATGGTAATGTGGCGTGTTGTGCGTTTGCCTGGCCCCGGGCCCCTGAGGGCAGCAGCTCCACTTCATTACAGAGACAGATGCCTGGAGCAGAGCAGTGTTAGTGCCGTCACCTCCTGACATTACACAAACAGCACTATTCTCACTCTGCACATGAGTGACAGAGATGAGAGGAGCCAGAGTCTGCAGAGGGATGCTCACACTGACCTGCTCCTTCAGCCCATTCAAACATGCACAAAATATATGAAAAAGAAGTCAAAAATTGCTCAAACTTGGAAAAAATGTATGCAAATGTGAGCTCATTTTGGACAAGATTTGCTTTGGAATGAGGAAACAAAGCAACAATTCTTGAAATGAGACTAAACGGCTTTGTCCCATTGGAATATCTGGTGAATTTACTCAAATTGAGACATTTTTTGCAGTGTACAAACAATTATTCACAAAATACAATACAAACAAAAATAAAAAATGACATGTACAGGGTTTGAAGAGGGATTGGGTGAAGCTAAAAAGCTGATATCCATGTATCAGCTGTATCCATGCCTCTGGTCTTCCCGGTCTTATGCAGTAGGTGTTTGTGGTACTTCAGCGGATCCAGGACTGAGGCTGTAGATCCAGGACTGAGGCTGTAGATCCAGGACTGAGGCTGTAGATCCAGGACTGAGGCTGTAGATCCAGGACTGAGGCTGTAGATCCAGGACTGAGGCTGTAGATCCAGGACTGAGGCTGTAGATCCAGGACTGAGGCTGTAGATCCAGGACTGAGGTTGTAGATCCAGGACTGAGGTTGTAGATCCAGGACTGAGGCTGACTCAGGCTGTAGATCCAGGACTGAGGCTGTAGATCCAGGACTGAGGCTGTAGATCCAGGACAAAGGCTGTAGATCCAGGACTGAGGCTGTAGATCCAGGACTGAGGTTGTAGATCCAGGACTGAGGCTGTAGATCCAGGACTGAAGAATTGTGTGCCAAGTTTAAATCCCTCTTACAGTAAACATCATTTCTGTTCTAAAACCCTGTGGTCTGTGGTTTGTCCCTCATTACACCAATGAATTACATTTTAAAGAGTCATTTCAACATGATTTTATGAGACTTGTAATCTCAACATCTTAATGAAAAACAGCTCCTGGTCTTTTCATTTACATCTGCGCTCAAAGTTGAAAATATTCATTTATTGCAGCAGTAAAACGTTTTGGCTCAGACTTGATACTTTAATAACTTTGTGACTAAACGTGTGTATTTTTGTGTTTTTCTCTGACAGCTCATGGATATGTGTACAGGAACCAGCGCAAATTTTCAGAGGAGATGGACTGGTCCTACGCAGGTGAGATTACAGCCGGCTTTACCACTGAGGAATTTGCCCTAATTATGAATCCAATTACCTGTGGAATGGTTTACCGCAGAATGAAAAGTATTATACGATAATTCATATCAGCAGCTTATGGGTTTGGCAGGTAAATGAGAAGTACAGAATGTGAGCTTGCCATTGCCTGTATTTCCGAGTATATTTTGTGAGGTTAACACAATTCCCGGGTCTCCAAGATGTCTGCCCATTGTGACATGTTCTGGCCTAGATCTGGTTCTCCTGGTCTTGTGCTTGGAGGCGCACAGTGGATCTACTTCTGCGAGACCAAAAAACTTGCATTCTCTGACCAATCAGAGCACTGCAAATCAAAGCGAAGCTCGAGTAGAACCAGAGCGAGCCCAGTTTGTTGCACAAAAGTGTGAATTGTGAAAAAACCGATACAATTAAATTTTTAAGAAGTTCAGGATGACAAGGGAGGAGGGAAAAATCTCCTTACAGCACATGTGAATTTAAGTGCCGAGGGTTGCCTTTTGTCTATGCGGAGACGGGTTGAAGTAGACAACATAATACATCCTGGTTTAACGTTATAAAGTATGCAATGAAAAGGAATGCTTGAAGAATTATTTAAACAGCATTAGTGAACATGAAAATATGAATAATATCCAAACATTTTTGCAAGGGACATTCTGAATTCAGGCAGCTTGAGCTTAGTTATGATTATCAATTATGTGTTTCCTGGTTTTTAAAACAATATTATTTGATTTGGGCGTAAAAGACAGACATGACCAACCAAATATACAAGATTGCAGCCAGGAACTCTTTCTTGCCTGTTGTTCCAAAAAGCATATATCATAAAAATACATTATAATCAGCATACATCGCACTATGAACTTCTTCAAGACATATCAAACACTCCGATTCATATTTGTAGATTGACCGACAAGAATCGAGTTGATGGGACTTATACTGTGGGGTGCCGCAAGGGTCAATACTAGGTCCTACATTATATCCCTTATCCTTTGTACACCCTGCACTATACACTATCTTTTTTAGGTTTTAGATATTGTTCAATACCATTCATTTATTTTTGTAGAGCCCTAAATCACTGCAACAGTCGTCTCAAAGGACAGCAGTAGTATTTGTGGGAAGTGGGGAAGTTCACAGAGTGCATATGTGCAGAGGCTAAAACGGGGGAGTCATAGTTCACCGTCATCTGTCGTTCAAAATGTGAGAAAGAGGAAAAGACGTCAGTCAGAGAGTTTCCAGGTCACTACTCATTTGGCCGTAATTGATCCCAGAGTGGAGGAGTATTATAGGTGGTTAGACTTTTAATTGGTGACTTTTTGACAACCCTCTTCTTTAAGCTCTAACAGTGAGCGCAGTAGTATAAGTGAGAAAAGCAACGCCATTGTGAATTATTGCAGGGATTGAGAGACCCGGAAAGCAGGAAGGAGCTTTGTGGTGCTGGGTTCAGTTCAGTGGGGGCAGGTCCCGGCTCAAAAGTGGCCAAAATGACGTGCGCTGACATGCTTGCAATATCACCCCGGGCCGATGGGGCGTGAACCCGGAATAAGAATTAGCCAATGCTAACATATAGCATCTTCTTACCTCTCAAAAACGTCTTTACAGGATGGTCCAAAAGTGGTCTCTTGGCCCAAAGCTCCGTTCCACATGTGTGTCAATGCTGAGGGGGGTGGATTTTTTAAGGCACTCGTTTAAATGAATGCAGCTTGTGCAGCTGACGCATGCACAGATGTGTTTTTTCACAATTTCCAGCCTCCGCGGCCATTTTGAAACTGCCCATAGACCGAGGAAGTTGTGGCACATTTGTTTGAACGGCGCAGCCAGAAGTGACTACGTCCGTTAATATATACAGTCTATGGTTCAGTCTCAAAATGCAAACTAATGGAAAGACTGAGGCACTCAATACCACATAAGAGAAGATTAACTTTATTGATCTCACGATGGAGAAATGTACAGTATATGTCACATTTGGCACCGATAGAGGTGACAGTAGCTCAGTTGGTAAAGCATTGGCCTTTGAGCCTGAAGGTTGTGGGTTCAAGCCCACCGTAAGACCTACTTCACGACTCCCACTTTGCCTGAAGCTCCCACTGAAAGATCTCAGCTCCTGTGGACTCACCACCTGCAGGAGGATCAGTGAGGGGCTGGTGCTGTGTACTGGGTGGCATCTCTGGCCACCCCCCTGACCCAGAAATGGATTAAGGGGAAGACAATGGATGGATGGATGGCACAGATAGAATCACTCAGGATGTGTGCAGACATGTTAAAAAATGTTAAACATATAGTCTCTTTTGTGTCGGATATATTATGTACATAATAAAGATAATAGTAAATGTTTTTCAGTGCTAGTGCAGGACCTTAAAGTGATTTAAAGAGACTTATTGTACTGTCTGACAGCGGTGGGGATGAAGGCCCTGTGTCTATTAAATGAAATGAAACACAACTTAAAATCATTTCCATTCACAGAGAGTAGTTTTGCAAATATATTCATGTCTGTTGGTGCTTTTTGGGTTATTTTCCAGGTTTAAAATAAAGGTGGAACATTATTTGAATTTATTTATGTAGTTTTTACATGCACAGTTATGTATCACTTTGTTTGTTATCATTTAGATTTTTGATGATCACGCCTTGCAGTACATTTTATTTTGGTATTTATCAAGCCGCGGGCCAACGACAGTACTTAATGGTCTATAAAGCACACCTGTACGCAAACCACACCATAGACGCCATGAAGGAAGGTCATTAAGTTTCCATTAACTAAATCTGGAGTCTAAAACCGGTTTACATTACGCAGCTGAGGTCCTATTTGTTCAGTGGGTGTGTCTTTCAAACTACATTAGTGAGATTGCTGCCTTTGAATCTCGTTTCCGTAGCAACCTCGCGTATTGCAGGGCTACAATAAAGTGACAAAGGAAAGAATGTACAAATGTTTACTTCTGCATTATTCCATTATTCAGATTGTATAACGGCGTCATTCATGATCAACTGTCTGAGTTAGAACAAGACTTAAAGCTGGGGTACTTAAATCACGTGGCACAAAATAATACATGTATGTGAAAACTTGCAAGGAACTGTTTACTAAGACTACATTACATACTTTTACAGTACGTACGTTGGGGTTTGAAAGTGAGGTACCCCAGCTTTAACTGTTAACCATCGACTTAGTTTTGCTGCTCCTCCTCACAAGAGAGGACCCAAAATGGAAGAAAATGCAAAAATAAGGATTTAATTATGATAAGTAAAATTCCAGAGGAGAAAAACTCTAAAAAATCCAAACAAAACGCATTTTTTTCTCAGCTCTTTGTCAAGCTTTGGCTGTTGTTTTTTTTTTAATGTTTTATACAATTACGGTAAATTTGACACAACAAGACACAAAGAGATTTTAGGGAGTCCCACTTGAAACTCAAGAAATCAAGAAACTCAAGAACTCAAGAAACTCAAGAAATCAAGAAATTCCAGAGTCTAAAACTAGGTAGAGTATAGGGCCGAGTAGGGCTGGTGGAAACGGGGCTATAGTGTTACTCTATCCCATTTCAGGAAAGCCCGCTCTCATGTTGTCAATCACCAAAAGTTTCCCATTTTTACAGCTACTTTAATAGACGCAAACGTAAATATTTGTCTCCAGTTCTTTTTGACAAGACGCTAAAACCGGTTCAGTCTGGGAAAGAGCTCATAAAAACGCCACAACATTAGACTAAGTACCTGGACGTCACTGCTCTTCCCTTTCCTCGTATGAACCGTGTAACTTCAAAGCCTCATTTCAAAGAGTCGTTAAAATGACTGAGAGCACTTTTACTCCACATCCCAAGTAAATGAGTGCCGTGTTACAATTTATGACTTTTTCCTTTTTTTAAAAACTATTTTTACCTTTGCAAGATGTGACGGCTGACTTCCTGTATCCTGCTGGTCCACTCCCAGAGAACTGTGAAATGTCATGGCCTAAAATATATGTCGCTTTAGTCTTTTGTCCATAGTTAAAGTCATGGAAATTCCTATGGGCGTGTTTCCAAATCTGTATCCCTTTTTCTGTTTTGCCTGATGCTATCATTGGCCTGTCTCAGCTGCAACAGTATCTAGAGCACCGTTTCCACCAGCCCTACTTGGCCCTACTCTACTCTGCTCTATTCTACCTTATTGCGTTCAAATTACGCTTGATGCGGTGAGTTCTGGCAACCCAGATCACAAACTTTCTGATTGATAAAGCGGTGGATGGCAGGACATTGAAATGACAACAATAAAAAGAAGTAGGGGCTGTAAAACTAACTTTTAAATTCTAATATCTCTCTGAACTACTTTTATCAGTTAAATAAGTATTCAAAAAGAGTATGTTTTATGAATGCCTTTTTACAGATTGTTATTACTCGACAAATAAAGTTTGGATTCTGTTTTGAGAAATTAATTTCAAATCATTTCTAGTAAAAGTTATCTACGTCTATAATGACATTCTGGGAAAAGTGCAAATCTTCTTGGAAAGTGACCTTGTGTGAGTGATGCCAACAGTGACTCGTAAACAGTACCAGTTCGGTCTGGATAAAACAGGGCCAAGAAGGTACTAAAAAAACGTCCTGATACCGATTGAAACAGAGCTGATTAGGGACAAACAGGGCCATTGTTACCATGTAATTACCTTTCCCCACGACGACTGCTACTTTGTGAACAATAGACGCGGATGTGGAAATTACAGGTTGTGTTTTGAACGATACGTCATGATCACAGAAGCAGCAAACAAACATCTTAAATACATATCACTTTGTTTTTTTGCTCCATAAAAATACCACAATATTTCTTCAAGTACAACGGTAATACATTCCATGGAAAAAGAACTGGAGTAGGATGAAGAAAACAAATCTTATAAACCTCTACCCCATTCATCCATGCCTATTATTTCACAAACAATCTGAAAATGACTTATATTTCTTTCCAGTTTTCCACAGAAACTGCACTTTTGAACCATCAAGTAGCATTATGTGGTTATGGAGAGACGTGGGAAAACTGAGTGTCTGAGTGTTATCAATTAATAAATGTAATGTTCTCTTTTTGTTTTTCTGCACATGTATTGGACATTGACTTTTAACTATGGAGTGTATTGTATCGTGTCCTTAATAAAGATTAATAATAGTATTAATAATGATAATAATCAGCCTGTATTTATAGAGCGCTTTTCCTACAAAAGGGAACTCAAAGTGCTTTCCAGCCTATCACAAAGGCATGAGTAATCACACAGAATAATAACAAATAATCATAATTAAAGAGTCATAACTGCTTTTTTGTAATTTTTTTGTCTGTATTTTATAAACTGGATCTGGAGTCTGTGATAAAGTTGACTTTAATTGAATAAACATTAGAATTACAGGGGGGCATTAAAAAGAAACATTGACTTCATATGGAGCATTGAAAACATGAAAGTTAAATTAATTGACTTCCATGAGGCTGTGGGTAGATGCAGAAGATTAGCAGGAACAGGATTGTGGTGACAAACCTGGCAATCCAGATCATTTCAAGGATAAAGGCAGGTGGTGTATGGGTGAGAAATACATGCTTTAAATACCCCTCCAACTGACACAACTCACACCAATCAGAGAATATGTGTAAAGTTTTATTTTACTATTTCATTTGGTGAATTTCTGAGCCTTGGAGGTCTCGTTACACTGGTTTCACTCACTGTTTGATTTATTGAGAGTAGTGGACATACATCTGTAAACCAAAGAAAATAGTAAAAGTTTGTGTAGCGTTCCTGTCATTAAGAGCTGCACACTGCAAAACATGATTAAATATGAGGTAGTAATTGCTTGAATCAAGAGTTTTTAAATCTTTATTTGAGTAGATTCTGCCATTTAGTCTTATTCAAGAACTCTTGCTTTATTTTCTCATTCCAAGGGAGACATTTCTTTTAAAAAGAAGATACTTTTGCTCGTCCCATTGGCGAGTTTTGTTTTACGGCAGTCAAAATGTGCTCAAATTAAGATACATTTAGCCAAATTTGATTCATTTTAGACTTATTTTGAATCATTTTTGACAGTGCATTGGACACAAATGCAGGTAGTACTAATCAGGGCAATAGATGTGTTCACCAAACTAAACTTTTTTTCCAAATAAGTCATGGGGGGTGGTAAAATTGCTTGAAATGTTCCTTCATAAACCAGTGGTGGCGTGAATGGGTGATTAACTGAATAAGAATCAAATTAGGCCAAAACACCAACTTCCAGCTCCAGCGTCTGTTGTCAATTTAGCGCATTGTACTTGGGAAAAACTGCCTTGATAATTATGGGTCAGCACACCTTCGCTTGGACCAATCACAGCACAGAACACAGACAAAAGCCAGATGTGTAGCCAGAGGTAAAGCTGGGCTACCTAATATGAAAAAAGACAATTATCTAATAAAATCATTCTGACTAGTTTCATGCTCTCAAAACTTAAGGAAAAAGTTGTCTAAATAGTTCAAAATAGATAAATAAGTGTTGTATGGAGCTGAAGATCTTGGCCTGAGCCCGACAAGACCTGATGGGACCCCACGGTTTTGGGCCGGGTTTAACTTTTTAGGCCTGATTTACAGCTGCAGGTTGTTGTCCGAGTCGGTAACAACATTTTCTTTCTGTTGGGAAAAACACAAGTATTATTGATGAATAAAAAACATCAACCTTTATTAACCTAAAATATAGCATATGTAGTAATCCTAGCTGGACTCGGGCCAAAAAGTCAGACTAACATTCAGTTGCCAGTTTAGTTCCTTATTACAGCTAGAGACAGATGATAATAGTTGTAGCATAAGTGAGTTTTTATTTATTTATATAATGCATTTCACAGTCCAAAAGTCACAAAGTGTTCAAAATTTGGTGAACCGGTTTTTTCCATTCACTCCACACACAGTGATGACAAAAGCGAGACATGGTGTTGATTTATCTTCAGTATGTTGTGAAAATACTGGTGCAATGCTGCTAGAATTAGAGCCATACTTCACACTGAGCTGCAGGTGTATGGACTAGTGTATAGACTCAGGTATAGACTGGGGTGTATACGGGTAGGGCAGGGGTCCCCAACTAAATTGCAAGGAGTCCACTAATCTGAAGTAGATTAGGGTCCGCTCATCATACAATCTGACAAAAACATGTTTGGTGATGTGGTTGAATCGACAATAACACGTATTTGATTTGATAGAAATCCATTCAAGTAATTTCTTTCATTAGTTTAATTGTAAATAATGAATCGGTTGAATTCCATCCGACCAATCAGCGAGCGCGGGAGGCGGGTGTTGTAGTCAGGAGTTTCGGCAGGTGTAGTTGGCAATGGCGAAGAATTCGATAGTAAAGTAATCAGGTCTGGTTCTATCAATAAATTGAAGCTGGAGCAAGAGGAATGTTTAGCAAATGTAATTGCTGGTAAAGATTGTGGCGCTACTCCCCACGGGCTCAATTAGCGGCAAAGGAGATGGCTAGGCTAAATGCTACATGCTAACGACTCGGGCGCACTACATACGTCACGGTAAACTCAGATCCAATTGTTTCAATCTGCAAAAGGAGTTAACCCCTCCCACCTGTTCACGGAGCTCAATGGAGCAAATCCAGACCTTAGTACGAAATGTCATTTGTACTGTGGTGTGGTACGACCAGGCTAGGACAAATAGGTCATAACATTCATTTTATTTACATCCTGTTTGTTATACGTATCTCAACATACTGCACATTGGCCGCATTGCTATGAAGGCCGCAGAGTTCAAAGTTATTCAAACAAGTAGTGGCTTATGATCCAGAAAATACAGTAATCGATTATAAAAATACAGTCCTACTCTGGGGGTCTAATCTTGTACTAAAGTTTAGCTCTCTTTATTACATGGGTTTTACCACATTTAACTGTCTGTGGAGATTTGGTTTCTCTAGAGGTTGAACTCTGCTCTGCGTCCTGTGTGTGCGTGTGTTCGTTTGTGTGTGTGTGTGTATGTGTGTGTGTGTGCGCGTGTGTGCTTGTGTCTCTGTGTATGTGTGTGCGTGTGTGTGTGTATGTGTATGTGTGTGCGTTTGTATGTGTGTGTGTGTGTGTGTATGTATGTGTGTGTGCGTGTGTGTATGTATGTGTGTGTGCGTGTGTTCGTTTGTGTGTGTGTGTGTATGTGTGTGTGTGTGCGCGTGTGTGCTTGTGTCTCTGTGTATGTGTGTGCGTGTGTGTGTGTATGTGTATGTGTGTGCGTTTGTATGTGTGTGTGTGTGTGTGTATGTATGTGTGTGTGCGTGTGTGTATGTGTGTGTGTGTGCGTGTGTGTGTGTGTGTATGTGTGTGCTCCTTCAGCAGCTGGAGTTGGTTACAGGACATTAGTCTATAACTTCTCTTGTCACTGAGACTGAGCAGCTGTGAGCACTCAGGACTCAGGAGCCTGTGTTTTATCACTTTGACCACATCATAATCATTTACTGTGGTCTCCAGACCGGTTCTAAGTCTTTTTCACGGTTTATTTAAGAAACTGTTATTTAATGCCAGAATCAGAATGGTTTTAATTGTCGTTGTAAGTAACAGGAAGTCACAATCTATAGGAATTTGCTACGCCTCCTGGCGCAGACAAGTTATAAAAGTAAAACGTAGATATAAATGATACATAATAATACATATATATATACCATAATGCATTCTCTGGATTTGTCAGTTTAATCCTGGCTTATTTCTGCTTTGATTTTGGTACAATTACTTCAGATTCAGGCAAATTAGCGGTGACTTCCCAAGAACATGTATTTATTTTATATGTATTGATATAGATTTTAGCTACATTAAAGTATCATGTGAAATTTGACTTTTAAAATGAGTATTTACTTGACAGGCCACTCAGAACTGCTACACAATCATCTCTAAAGACTAGAAAAATGTTTGCATGAAATGAGAAAAAAATATTGAATGTAATCTTGAAATACTGCAAGATCTATTGTCAAATCAATGTTTACAGTCTATAGAAATATCTTCAGAATCCCTGCGTTTGTGTTAATTAAAAATTAATTGTGCCTTGTAGGAACTCTGAACCAAAAGAACTGGGCTAAAAAGTTCCCGTCGTGCAGTAACGCCCGGCAGTCCCCCATCAACATTGACGAGTCTGTGTCCCAGGTGAAGCTGCTGTACCAGGGCTTGCGCTTTGAGGGGTGGGACGCCCTGACCTCCGACACCACCACCATCTGCAACGACGGCAAAACAGGTACTGACACAAGAAACAAGGCCTTCTGTGTAAAAGCTGGGGTACAGTACCTAACTATAAAACCACACACAAAAAGTATCAAAATCCATCTAGCTAGTACCCTGCTCATAGTTCCACAAGAATGTATTTTTGGCCTCTATCGCATCTTAAAGGTTTCTAGGAGGATTTTCTACTTCTGGGTGGGTCGTCAAGACTATTGTTCCTCCCAAATGTCAATCATTCTGGGGATACGTGCTCGTCAAATAAGACCAGAAAGCTTTGTTTCCGAAAATTGGGGGAAAAGCTCCTATATACCTTTAAAAAACCAACTCTCGGCTGAGCTTTCATTCCCTTGAGAATGTTTTTTGGATTAAGAACAAAACATCGGGACAACCTGCTGACTGAAGTACAGATGATAGGTGAGCAACCTTCCTTTGTTATAGATAATCCCTGTATGACTGAGAGCTTACACTAACTTATTTTTGACAAGATTTATATTTACACACTCACTCGTGGGATTCTAAAACTGTGGGCAAAGCACTGGGATATCTGATCTCGTTGTTTGTTGATCTGCACGTGTGACTTCTCCGCTGAAAAAACACTTATTTTTGGTAAGATCTGGCTTAAAACCAGGTTAAGGATCTCCAAAATGTGGGCAAAGCATATGAATATATGATTTCTTTGTTTTGTCCATATTTGGTTATCTAAAACAGGCTGTGAGAAGCCATAGATTGTCAAATATATGTGTCATTTATGCTGCTTTTCACCAATCATGGTACGGCCCCGCACGTCACGGTTATTTTGCATTTCCACTAGGGTTAGGCTTCGGATCAGGGCACTTTTTTGTACCACCTCGACCATGGTTCCAACCGTACCAAAGCTACACCATAACGTGACGTCAGCAGACTGCCTTACACTGATTGGTCAATGACATTCACCTGCATTCACCTGGTCTCAAGAGACATAAGTACTTTGGTCTTCGTGAATTGATGGTTTTGCACTTTACTTTTGTTTTTCATAAATCTGTGATTGTATTGAAGACGATGACAAAGTTTGGGATCGTGTCTTAAAGTGATTGTCTGGAGTTTGTCAGAAAGAGAGGGAGAGAGGTACTTGATTTGAAAAAAACGACGCAAGCTCCCTCCCCCTTCCTTTTTGATTGGTCACCTACCTTTCCGTAACACTTTTTAATGTTAATCAGAGAACACATTATACATATACGTTATTAATACACATGCACAGAGGTTTTCAGAATTGAAAGAATGAAAAAAATTGCGGCAAACCTGGAAGAAGCTATTATCATGAATTGCACATTATAGGACAAATCTGCAGAGGATCTGATTATGGATATATGTTCAGTATATAAATGATTATGGATATAGGTGCGACAGTAGCTCAGTTGGTTGAGCATTGGCCTTTGAGCCTGAAGGTCGTGGGTTCAAGCCCACCGTAAGACCTACTTCACGACTCCCACTGTTGACTGCTGTCGTTGTGTCCTTGGGCAAGACACTTAACCCCACTTTGCCTGAAGCCCCCACTGAAAGATCTCAGCTCCTGTGGACTCACCACCTGCAGGAGGATCAGTGAGGGGCTGGTGCTCTGTGGACTGGGTGGCATCTCTGCCCACCCCCCTGACCCAGAAATGGATTAAGGGGAAGAAAATGGATGGATATAGGTTCAGTATATACATGATTATGGATATAGGTTCAGTATATAAATGATTATGGATATAGGTTCAGTATATAAATGATTATGGATATAGGTTCAGTATATACATGATTATGGATATAGGTTCAGTATATACATGATTATGGATATAGGTTCAGTATATAAATGATTATGGATATAGGTTCAGTATATAAATGATTATGGATATAGGTTCAGTATATACATGATTATGGATATAGGTTCAGTATATACATGATTATGGATATAGGTTCAGTATATAAATGATTATGGATATAGGTTCAGTATATACATGATTATGGATATAGGTTCAGTATATAAATGATTATGGATATAGGTTCAGTATATACATGATTATGGATATAGGTTCAGTATATACATGATTATGGATATAGGTTCAGTATATACATGATTATGGATATAGGTTCAGTATATAAATGATTATGGATATAGGTTCAGTATATAAATGATTATGGATATAGGTTCAGTATATAAATGGGTAACTCAGCGCGGATGTTCAGAATTCTTTGTTCAGTTTTCATGTAGTTCCAGAGCCTAATGGAGTCTTGAATCGGAGGCTCCGCAAAAACAAACAACTGAGCATGAGCAGCTACGAGCATCAGCGCCGATGATTGACAGCTCTTGGCATCACTTCATTGGTTAACGTGGACGGCATCGTAGATTCTGAGCTATAGCTAAGAGAAGGGAAGGCGGGACTTGTCCGTAATATTAGAATGAATAAAATGACTTATTTTATATCAACATTTAAGGCCAGGAGGTCAATTTAACATATTTCCTAAAATTTGTAATTCATTTAGAGTTACAGACTATGTTACAGACTAAAGGCGCTTGCACACTGAGTCCGAAATTTTCGGATGCGTATTTTGAATGCGTCATCCGAAAAAATTCGTTACGCACAATAACCTTGCACACTGCATCCGATGCGTTTTTATTATCATATTCGTAACGAAATTTCGCTATCTGTGAGAGAAGATGGAGTCATCAAGCAGTGAGGAGGATTTTGTGTTGCTCTCAGTGCTTGAAAAAAGAAAGAAAAGAAAAAGGCGATACTGGGTCCACCCCATCCTCAGAAGTCGGGCAGAACGGGGAGAATACCACCTTCTTACAGATCTGCGTGGTTATCCTGACAGATTTAAAAGTACCTTTAGAATGTCTGTAGCACAGTTTGATGCGCTGCTACAACACTTGCGCCGCACATCAGAAAGAAGACCACACATTTCCGTGATCCGATTGGCCCTGAACAGCAACTTGCAGTGTGTCTTAGGTAAGCACGCACACACACACGAATACACATACACACGGATACACGAAAACACACACATGGACATGCACACACAGACACACACACACACACGCGGACACACACACGGACATACGAACACACACGGACAAGCACACACAGACACACACACGCGAACATACGAACACACACGGACACGCACACACAGACACACACACACGGACACGCACACACAGACACACACACGCGGACATATGAAAACACACACACGGACACGCACACATAGACACACACACGCGGACATATGAAAACACACACACGGACACGCACACACAGACACGGACTTTATACTAAAGGGCCCACAGATAACACAAATACATCAGATAAATCCCATCATCACACTGTTCTCACTGAGGCAAGGCCAAGTGTAGGTCTTGCTTGAAATAACATTAAAATAATCCAATGTATTCCTTGCTGCAAACATACACATCTTTGTTTTATTAGAAAATTCACTAACTATAACTTTCTTTATACACACTAGATATCTGCACAGGCGACTCTTTCACCACCATCGCCAATAGCTACAGGCTGGGCATCACCACTGTGGGGAAGATGGTGAGGGAGACCTGTGACCAAATCCGGAGGCAATCCCAGCCAGTCTACCTGCCCACACCAACAGCAGACACCTGGAAGACCACAGCAAAGAGGTAGCCTATTCTTATTTTACTTTGAGCATTGGATTGTTCATAATTAATAATGTTTAGTGTTTTTATTTTGTTTGATTTTAGTATCCTCTTAACTCATGCCCTCAGGACTAATCAATTAATTAATAAAAACTTATTTTTTCGTAGGTTCAATGAAAAATGGAACTTTCCCAATTGCTTTGGTGCCTTGGATGGGAAGCATGTGCAGATTGAGGCCCCTGCAAACTCAGGCTCCCTCTTCTATAATTACAAAGGGACCTTCTCCATAGCCCTCCTGCCGTTAGTGGACGCGGATTACCGTTTCCTCGCCATTGATGTGGGGAGCTATGGTGGGAACAGTGATGGGGGCATATTTGCAGACTCTGCTCTGGGACGAGCCCTGCAGCGTGGGACACTGCATGTTCCTCCTCCAGCGGAGCTCCCGTCTGCACCTGAACTGGGGAAGGTCAACCATGTGATTGTGGCAGACGCGGCTTTTCCCATGAAGCCGTACCTTCTCCGTCCGTACCCTGGAAGGCGCCTTGAAGAAGACAAACGCATCTTCAACCTCCGCTTGTCCAGAGCGCGCCGGATCTCAGAGAATGTGTTTGGGATCATGGTCCAGCGCTTCAGGGTTTATAAAAAACCGATGGAGGTGAACCCTGACCTGGTGGACAGTGTGGTGAAAGCAACCTGTGTGTTGCACAACTACCTGCGCCACGGAGCATTGGACCAAGCCCTCCAGGAGGAGCATCAGGGCGGCAGTGAGGAAGACAACTCTGCAGCTGCAGGGAACAACAATCCCTGTCTGCTGGACCTCCAGAGGCCAAGGGGAAACCGGGCATCTGCAGAGGCTCTGGGCATTCGTGACACCCTTAAAAAGTATTTCACCTCACCTGCTGGCGAGCTACCATGGCAGTATAGCCGTGTGCGTCGTGGACTCCATGGAAATCCATTCCATCCATCCATCCATTTTCTTCCCTTTAATCCATTTCTGGGTCAGGGGGGTGGCAATCAGAGCTGCCACCCAAGTCTCATAGCACCAGCCCCTCACTGACCCTCTGCAGGGGGTGAGTCCACAGGAGGACAGCTGCTCTCTGAGTGAGAGCATAGCCTTGATCTTTCAGTGGGGGCTTTGGGCAAAGTGGGGTTAAGTGTCTTGCCCAAGGACACAACAACAGCAGTCATCAGTGGGAGTCGGTGGAGAAGGTGCAGAGGTGGGAATTGAACCTACGACCTTCTGGCCTTAAGGCCAATGCTCTACCAACTGAGCTACTGTCGCCCAAATCCATTATAGAACAGTAATTAAAACTAGATCAGCATTGTTATACATTTAAAATAAAAGGAACAAAACAAATCAATTTGTTTCTCTTTTACTTTGCATTCATTTAAAACAGTACAATCGTGAAACAACATTCATAAATACATAAAATACAGTAATCAATAAATAATTCTTTACTATCACATTACCATGGACAGAAGACGCCATCCCCCTGTGGACTCAACCCCCTGCAGGAGAATCAGAAGAACTGGTGCAAATATTATTATTTACATAAATATATACATTCATTACAATAAATAATTAAACCATTAAAAAAATCACAGGTGAAAGAAGTTTGGTTCCTGCTGATAGAGGGTATCAAAGGCAACGTTATGTACAAGTTCCTGCATTCTGATCTTGAGATAGGAGAGTTTTTGTGGGGTGAGTCTCCTCAAAGTGAGAGCCAAGCTAGAGAGAAAACAGGCCACCTCATCTGTCTGCTGCTCTTCCAACCTCTGGCGATGCTGCCGCTCTCTCTCCCTCTCCTCTTCTCTCACTTTCTCTCTCTCTTCTTTCCACTGAAGGTACCTCCCAATGCTGTCTTCACTATCTACTCTCTTCTTGCGCTTGGCGCCGTTGCTACTGGAAGAAGCTGAGCCTGAGCTGTTCTCCATCTCTGGAACTCCCTCTTCATTGCTGGCCCTCACTATTTCAGTGCTGACCTCTCCCTCAATTTCTTCCTCCTCCTCTTCCTCCATCTCAATATTACTATCTGACCTGGTGAAAAGTAACTTGTGTAATGAAATTATACTGTATATTGAACTGCTCTTTGCTATTCTATTTTACAGTAGATAATACCAAAGCAAAGGAAGGTTTCTCACCCATCATCTGTACTTCTTACAGATGATGGGTGAGAAACCTTCCTTTGCTTTGACTAATCCCTGTACGACTGAGGGCTTACACAAACTCACCAGTAGATAATACCTTCTCTTTGTTGTGGAAGATTGAAGGAAAGCCATTACGTCCATATGCTTCCACTTCTTCTTCTTAATGGCAGCTTGTCCACTCCTGCCCTGTCCATCTCTTTTGTTGCGGATGTAGGAATCTCGCAGGTTCCGCCACATTTTCTTCACTGCTTTGACTAATACAAAACAAGACAAATTTGTTAAAAGTAGCAATGTATGTGTGGTCTATGGTATCACTCTAATCAATGTATGAAGTGAATTATAAGATATATTTATTATTAATGAATATTTTGATATCCTGGACAGAATTTAGAATTATGTAAAGAAGTTATAGTATTGTAGTCAGCCAGCAACCATGTTTAATCACATCGTACAATTATTATAGTCAATGGATAACATTAGCACAAGGCAAACTAATATAAACTAATAATACAGCACAAAGCATATATGTTAAAAGTAGACACGTAGGTGGCCTACGTCATTATTCTACTTATTGATAGTACGTGAGTAAACTCATTTCCAAGAGATGGGTGAACTTTGCAATGAGTTTGCTTTGCTTTATAGGCCACTTACGTGACCCGTCGGGCCCACTGACCTTTTAGCCTAGTGAAACCCAGCCCCTCATTAATCAGTGAGGGGGGGCAACACAGAATATACCTCCATGAATCTCTATATTCACCACTAAAGCCTTGAAGTACCTAATGTAATCATTCATTCGCTGGCTAGCTTGGCTATCGGCTGCTAGTTTTCCACGCTAGCGCTAACATGATAATAGCTGTTTTTAGCTGCCTATAAACCAATACATACCGTCCCCGATTCCAAGCTGCTCCGCGATCTCCTGCCATATCGTGTCCTTTAGCTCAGCATCTTTATAATCACTGCTTTCTTTATCATAAAGTGGCTTTTGCTGGGAGACCAAATGAATGAGCCGCTCCGATGCCATGTTTACCTACGGCGGCTCGCTATGGACAAACAACCCTCAAAAGGCGCATGACCGGCATATGACGGAACGAAAATTTGTTAAAAAACGACGCTGTTCCAAAAAATTGAATGTCGGACGAATATTTCGGAGTCGGTGTGCAAGCGTAATTGACATAGCGTGGGTTCGGTTTTTTTTTTTTTTTGTGCGACAATTTCGCACGAAAAAAACGGACGAAAAAACGGACCCAGTGTGCAAGCGCCTTAATACATACTGTAAACAGAAAGACAATAAACAGAATCATGATAGCCCAAGTTGATTACATTACGTTTTTGGCCAAAAAAATCATTCTAGGTATTTTTTGGGGGGGCATTCTCGCGAGTTTTGGGTTGGAAAATCTTGCCGGCATTTGGCAACCAATGGGAGTCGTGTGCTTCAATGTGAGTGGTTGAAGGAACGTCATTCAAGATAACTGACAAGTGGTTTATCCAATCACATTGAAGGATTTTTTTTTTTTTTTACAAGGCCCTGCCTTCTGAAATCCAACCGCTATGGCTCAGGCCCAGACCCATGTGAGAAGCGCAGCGATCTACAAGGGTCTGGCGAGAGTCAGGCTAGGCAATCACAGCACCAGAGTCTCATAGCACCAGAGTCTCATAGCACCAGTCCCTCCTGCAGGTGGTGGGTCCACAGGATGATAATAATAATAATAATGCATCGGTTTTATATAGCGCTTTTCTGGACAGCCACAGCTGCCCTGGGGCACACTGACAGAAGCGAGGCAACCAGTATGCGCCATCGGCCCCTCCGACCACCACACACACACACCAGAATCATTCTAGGCAATGGGGCTTGCTTCTCCATCATCGACGAGATGACCTTGGTCTTTCAGCAGGGGCTTCAGGCAATGTGGGGTTAAATGTCTTGCCCAGGGACACAACAATAGCAGACATCAGTGGGATCAGATGACATGGGTCGCGGCGGGCCTGAACCCACAACCATTAGGTCTAAAGACCAGTGCTCTACCAACTGAGCGACTGTTGCCCCAAGTTCGATGTTATACATGTATCTATTAATATTATTTATTCTTTAAATTAATACATTTATTTAAACAGTTCAGTAGAATTTTAAATCACAATACTAAGTTACTATGGTTACCATGGAAACGCTCTCTGTTGTTGCTTGGTTACTGTCAAGTTATTTGGTGATATGTTTGTGCAAATTCCCCACTTGAAAGGGATAAACCCTCCACATATGAGTTTGAACTGGATTTCACTCAATGATCAGCCATTGTTCTTGATTCATGCCATTTATTTGGCTTGGTTTCAGCTTTAGGTTCAGGTGAAAAACCTCAAAAGGAGAACAGAAACATACAGTCATTTTCCTATGCAAATAAACAGTCTTCTAATTGCACCTTCAACAAATAATGTTCCTGCTAGTAAACAAAATAGTATCTTATTTTAAATAATATTTACCCCCAAATGAGTTAATCTATATTTTAACCTGGTTTTAAGCAAATACCAGTAAACTGTGTGTTTAAGACCTTTTTTAAACATTCTTATACATTTTTATAGTTGTATTGTAGTATTAACACATGCCAATTAACCAAATGAGTTACAAACTAAAGTCTATTTTCACAAAGGTAAAGTCTATTCCCTAAGTTTTTAACCACATTTGAAACTTAATACATTATCTTAGCTTTTTATCAAAGGATCAACAGTTCTGGTTTTAGCACATTTTTAAAGTAATATATTTCAACATTTTAACACTAAGTACTTGATTTTAACATTTTATCACTAAGTGATTGATTTTTACATGATTGCGAACTGCGTTTTCCAAACATGATCCGTATACATGAAACATTCAGTTTTTAAACTTAACAT